TAACGACTGGAAAAAGCGCTGGCACAAGTGCATTGTATCAGAGGGGGATTATTTTGAAGGGGATAACATAATTTTAGATAAATAAATGAATATTTTTTTATAAAAATGAAAAGTCACCTTATTTTTTGATCACACCTCGTACATACTTATACACGACAAAAAAGTTTTCTATCATACGGCCAGCAAGAAACATTTTTTAAACCTAATGAAGTTTTTTTGTTTCAATAACAAAATGTTTGATGAGGCAACAAATTTAATAGAAATTCTTGAAAACTTGGAAATCGCATTAATGTTATTTTTATAACCGACGTTTGTGGACATTCACTTTATCAGAGTTTCAAGAGCAGCCTCTACTCTCATCAGGCTGCCATTGGAACTCTGACGAAGCGAATTGGAATATTCACAAAACGTCGGTGTAAAAATAAAAATATAAAAATGTGAAAATAAAAAAATATAAGTGACACGCGGTTCCACAATCCATCTTTAGGAATTTTTGTACACCGCGAAAGAAACAAATATCAATACACCGAAAAAATTATATTCTTATAAGTAGAAGATTTTATACTTAAAAAATTTTCTTAAAGATTTTAGATGATATTCTTCTGAAATTAAGAATATATTCTTAATTTAAGAATATAGTCTTTTTTGATAGTGAGATATATATGTTTTTCTATAGAGGCTTTTTATATTCTAATCAGTATATATTCTTATCAATATTACTATTTAGAGGATTTTCCTCTTAAAATAAGAAACTCTTCTTGGCGCCTATTTTAGCATAAAATATACTTAAAGTAAGTGGGATATCTCTCCTCAAAACAAGAATGCAATTTTTTCGGTGTAGTGACTAATCTTCTTGCTGTTCCAGCAAAATTTTTTTTCGTATATAGAACTTTTTTTTTAGTGCAAGTTTATGTAAAAAAAATATTAAAAAAACCAGATGTGTAACATAAAAGCCAGTAAAATATTTTATTGGTTACTAATGTTTACAATAAATCGTTATTTAAGAAGCACGTTGTTTCAACGTCAGCGAACAAATTAACCTGAAGGTAAAAAACGAAAACGATCGCGCATCAACGGCGCCGTTCAATCAAAGTGCGCAAGCACTTCCGAGCGAGACAAACGTTTCGCGATTTCGCGAGTAGCTCGAAACTCGCTACTGCGAATCTTCAAGGGGATCGCGAAGCAACTCGTTTAGGATGCTGCGCGTTCTGTTTACACGCAAGAAATCCCTCATAATAACAGTTAATTGGCCGTGGCTGGTCCGCGGATCGTGAGAGCAGTCTAGACGTGTACGTCCGTCGGTCGAATACTCCAGTCCGTCCACGGCTGAAACTCGCAGACGCTCTCGAACTCCCTCGTTTCTTATCCGTTCCGCTACGCTGCAAACTGCGCGCGGATACATCCCCCTTGCAACTTGTTGCCAATCATGGCGTCGCACATAGCCGCGCGCAACGCGGCTACGCGGAATCGTTAGATACATGAGATCACTTTTTGTTATCGTTAACCTTATTGTTCGTTATGGTATCTTCACTTGTTGGTTTCTTGTTACAAGTGAACTATTTTATTCTCGTTGAATAAATAATGTAAAATTAATGTACGAATACACACATGAACCCATACCAATCTTTTTCGAACATATTTTCTACATAGTAAAACGTGAAGGTTGAAATTAGAAGTCAAATTAAATATTATGTAATCTCGAGACTGATCTTTATTATAGAACTTGACTTTCGCACAAATTGCCGATACTTGTAGAAGCTACGATGTAAGTTGATTTCACATGCATACATCGGTCACACATCGCTTATTTAATTAACGTCATCGTTGATTACTTATCAAGCGCCTCTGTTTTTTGCTGCCGGTGTATGCGTGTTTCGCAAGTATTTCGATATCTCCGTCATTTCCTTTCAATATATGTACATATATGTTTTATTTTTTTTTTACATGCTTTCAATTTCGTTTTTGCGGTCGGTATGAGTCATTCGAATCGAAAAAAAGACGAGCGCCCACGAATCACACAGGACTCTTCCATCTCTTTTCCATCTCCCTTTTTTTTTCTCCAGTTTGCCGCCCAATAACGAATCGGTTAACGAAAAAGTTAATGAAGATACAAAATAACCAGTCGCTCGGAATTCTATTAAAGAGCCTTTACTTCTTATCTTTGTAATGAACGGCGCGATCATCGTCGAAGGTTCCCTTCGTTTAACCGTCAGGTACGAGAAATCTGAAGAGTCATCGGCGCTCTACGGCAGATCTCTTGTCCACGGTATACAGGTGTGTATCTGTATACATATATACACATATACGTATACGTATATACATAAACGACAGAAGCCTAACGTACGTTTACGTACGACGAGCGGATGCCTAACATACCTAACGTACGTTTTGTCTGAATAAAAGAATTTCAGGATTTGATAAGGAATATGGCCTGTCTGCTTTTAATGCAGAAAAAAAGCTCATACATGTATTTTTTTCTTGATTCTGTCCTTCTCGATGTCGTTGAAAATCTCTCTCTCTCTCTCTCTCTCTCTCTCTTTCGCGAAAAAAGCACGATGATATCGTATTACACGTTCAAATCAAGCTCAACTCTCTCTCTCTCTTTTGCACACTTATAAAGATAGAAACACAAACTACTATTACTACTACTACCACTACTATTGCTACTGCTACTACTACTTTATGAAAAAATTTTGCATTGCTAAATATAGTGGCGACTACAGAGAAAACAGCATTGAATGTGTTGAGCACAAAACCGTAATATCTTTTTAGAGAAATATGGAAGTAAAAGAATTTTAATTCTTTTTCTTTTCATTGTGACATTTCCTGCAGATTTTTCACATCGAATTCTTACATCGACGAACTGAAATGCATTCCACAAAGTCAAAAAGAGTGTGACGTATACAAATGACAAACACAAAAAATGTACAAACATTATTAGGCACATTCACGGTCTCAGAATGATCTCTTTCAATCTCTTTAAAATTGTTACAGGAAAACGGGTTTTCTTCAGAATCTCTCTCACACACACACACACACACACACACGCGCGCGCGCGCATTTTAATTATATATTTAAAGAATTCATCGATTTTATTTTATTTTCTTTTATTTTAATCTTCGTTTAGTTTTTTTTTACTTTTTTATTCAAATTTATTAGTTGTTTATATATCTTCGTTTTATTTATTAGTTGTGCTTATATATCTTTGTTTTCTTTTCTTTTCTCTTATTTTAATCTTCGTTTAGTTTTTTTCTACTTTTTTATTCAAATTTATTAGTTATGTTTATATATCTTCTTCTTCTTCTTTGTTAGTTGTATATTTAAAATTCACTCATTCAGCAAATTGTGAGAGACATTGATCTTATCATTGGCGTAGGTCTTTACTTTGACACTTTACGCGCGCGCGCGTACAAGCTTTATATTAAATTTCTTATTAAATTTCTTATATTAAATTTCTTCACTCGAAAAGATAGTTATCTACAAATCTCTAACAGCCAATTTTTTCACTTCTAGATAAGTTTTCGATAACTTTATCTAGAAGATATCTTCCAAAATTGGTTCTCCTTATTGGTTCTCAGAGGAATTTATCCAGAGGATAGCTATTGAGAGGATAGCTATCGAGAGGTATAAAGAAATCGGTCGTAAAAGACAAAGTGTATCTTTTTGCATATCTTTATCCAGAAGATAGGTTCCGGAAGATATGAAGAAATCGGACCTTATATATCTCAATATCTATTATTTTTGCAAAATTCCCCTTCTCTTGATTTGTAACAATGTATAATATAATATGACCGTTTGCATTCAAGAATTGAAAAAACAAATACATACACAACAAATATATAATACATAAACAAAACATACATAAAATAAACGAAGTAAACTCTTTATTTATAAAAAAAAAAATATAGAAAATCGCATTGTTCTTAAAAAGAAAAAAAAAGTAAACAATATATAAAAAATAATATAAATATATATAAATACACACACACAAACATAAACAAATCATTTGACAAAATGAGATAATGCAGTTGACATGTCAGAAAGACAAAGAATAAAAATTAAACAGAAAATTGATAAAATAAGTTTTAGGTACTTTAATTACCGGTGAGTTTTCATCGTAGGTTTCATCGTTTAGTAACAATCTTATGAGATAGAAGGGGTTTGTCTCCATGAAGACGTTATTTTTATATCATACACACAATTTCAGGAGAAGTTACGTTAACGTTCTTTATACACAATTAAAACAAAACAAGAAATTTCGTAAAGTTCTTCTATTTTTGAAAAACACACACGAGTTGAAGTGAACACAAAACGACACACGGTTACAGATTCTCGCAATTCGATCACATGCACGTTCGATTTTTCGTTAATGTTTGTATTTTTAAGATTCTATTTTTTGAGATACCGATGTATTAAGAGCAACGTCGCAACAACAACTGATTCTAACGACTGTATTGCCTGTCTTATGTATTGCTCTTTTCTGTTTACAGATTCAAAGACCGGGTATAATCTTTGTTTTCAAGCCAAGTACAAGCAAAGTCACAAATTACGTGTATATTTCTGGTGTAATTGCACGTTAGCTTTTAACACTTCGATAAATCTATTGCATGCAAGTCAGACAAAGTTTTCATTAAAAAAAATAAAACAAAATTCGTAAGTTGTATGATGAAATAATCAACACTTACAATAACTTTTATTTCAATTTTTACATATTCTGAAATAAAGTATATAAAATATAAAAAATATATGAAATATATATATAAAAAAAAATTGTCAAACTTAAACTTTACATGAGCATATCTGGATAAGTCGGATTAGTACTTACAGACCAGCCACCAAGAAGCGGAAGACCCATAATCGACCCTCTTATTATTGTCGACAACTGTAGATTTTGGTTAGTTTATTATGAAATTAATTAGTAAAATGTTAGATAATGGTGTTAGATAATTAGACTTGCTTGGGTCTGAAAATATAGTCAGAGCCAATAACTTAGGACTGACCGGAGATAATGTCTCCTGCATGTGCAATGGTGCGTTGTCGGCCTCGTCGGTGCACGTCGACATTCTTTGATGTCGTCTTCCAAATCTTCTCTATCCGGAATGTGAAATCCGGGAAAAAAGTCTCGCTCAAAGCGTCAAGGCTTGAATTGCTCTTTCGGAGATTCGTTCCAGAAATCGTGACAAACGTGACAAACGGTTCTCTTTGTAGTTTAATGCGATGGTGGGACAAGTTACCGCCATCGATTTAGCTTTCTCTATGCAATGTGTGTTTGCAACAATATCGTTGCGATTAGTGGGTAGAGCACTGAAAAGTATGTCGAAAACTCCGGCCTGACGGACATCCCAGTCTGATCCCTATCTTTGACTAGATGTCTAGCCAACGTTAGTATCGGGTATCACAGATTGTTCAATCTTATTATATGGCACATCATTATTCGGAGGAAAACATCGGGCAAGAACGACCTGTAAACAAAAAAAAAAAACAAATTGCAATTTTAAAAAAAGATACATAACGTGTGTGTATGAATTTATTTTCGGAATGTATTTTCTCTTATAAAATACTTATAATAATTACTAACGTTTTATAGATAATTACTTAATGGGTATAATTATTAACGTTTAGTAAATTATTTTTGTTAGCTCTTTTTTTTTCTATTGCGATTCAAATGGAGTTTCGGATGCGCGTAATACACAGGAATGTGTATTATCGTAACTACAACCAGTGCACACGCACAAAGGAAAATTCGAGAGGAAAACGGCAGGAAACGAAAATCATTGAAAAACAAACTTTCGAAATCTTCAACAAAAAAAAAACGTTTTAGCTCGTCCAGGTACGAAAAATATCAGGTATATACAATAAAATAGTTCGAAACCCTCTGAAATTAGTCTCAAAGTGCTGTGGTATTTTTGCAGGTAGGTCGACCTAGACATAAATAAAAGCGAGACCAAATGATGCTTCGTACTCGCACGTGACCGTTGTTCAAAAAGCGAAGGTTCACGTGCCTGAAGATCGCGTGGTCCCGCAAGCGGAAAACCGGAACCCGCGCGCGACCGAGGCAGGTTCGACGTTATTCACTTTTCGCTGGGCAAGGATTCGCGCGCGGATGTCGGTCAACCAGTCTGATCCCGCGAATTCTACGTCCTCGCAACGCGGTCTCGCCCAGGTGGATGTTAGCAAAACCAGTTGGTTCGCTCTTCTCTCCCGACTCACCCATCTACTCCTACTACTACAGCGCGAGAAGTGCGCGAGCGTGGAGGAGGGCGCGCGCGTAAAACTGGAATTCAGCTCGCGGGCACTGCTCTGACGGATAGACAGGTATAATAATAGACGTAACGAGGAAGCCGAACCATCGAGAGTGAACACACAGAACGGTGCCGGTTCTCACTCTCTCCTTTTTCTTCCGTCTTTCATTCTCTCTCTCTCTCTCTCTTTCTCTCTCTTGCGTACTCATCTCTCTCGGTCCGGTCCCGTCAATAACGGAGACGCGGAGGATGCTCGCGAGAAAGGAACAAGACTGGTTGTTAGAAAGAAGAAGAGAGAGACGAAGAGGAACAGCGAGAGATGCCGAAGATGGTGGCGGCGGGAAGTAGGTAGGTAAGTGCCTACCTACTACGCGGAAGAAGGAGATTGGGGCAACCTGAGAGAAGGAGTAGGTACGCACGGGGCCGGTACACAACCGCGAACTGGAGACGAGAAGGCAGAGAAGCAGGTTCGGCCGGTCTAACCTGATTCTTAAAGGGAACCCCATCAGATTGGACCCACCTCCGTGGGTCCGTTTGTATTTCAAGTACCTGTACGCCCTCGCTTCGCGTCAGTGAACGATGCTTTCGGAGACGGAGGAGTCTGAGTCGAGTCGTACTAAGTAATGCAGTTGACGGTTCGCGCGATGTGTCTATCGGCGGCGAACACCTCGGCGAACACATCTTGCATCTGCCGCCGATAGATCCTAGAACGCGGTCGCAGCTGCGGCGGCAGTAAATCGAAATCGTTCAAGCAGCAACAGCTGCAACACAAAACTGCCGTTAGTGTACCGAGAGTGAATTTTCTAGAGATCCAGTGAGAGTTCGAGGTGGTTCCCTTGAAGAACATTTATAGAGACCGACCTACTTGCGAACGGAATTTAACACGGTTGTTGAACGGGTACGAAAATCAGCTTTCTTGGTTATTTGAAGGTTGTTGACAAGTTTATTTTCGTGTTTAGAGAAACATACCGTTAATAATTGACCACAGGTTAGTCTATTTCCATTATCGATAAGAGACGGATAATGAAAAAGATCTATTCACTTTTATTTATCAGATTTTAGTTTGACTTTTAGGTCGAAGAATCTTTAGGAAATAACCTTTGTAGTCCCCAAATAAGTGACTGTTTTCCGAACCATTATCGATAATTTAACAGGTCCAAAATGTTGACAAGAGTAGAAAAGTGTTAAAAAAAATTTGTGAATGCTATACAACTTATAGTTTGCATTTGAAAAAAAAATTATCAAAGAGAAAAAAATAAGAAAAACAATAGATACACATATGTATACGGCATGCTAAAAAGAAACAGATAAGATATGTTCAATGAAATGAAAACTCAAGGAGATACGACTTCAGACAATCTATGTTGTGTGAAAAAAAATAAAAAAAATAAAACAATCGCTACTTGTGCGCGCGCGAGCAAAGTGCCGTTTTGTCCTATTTGTTACTAATATAAAAAATAATATTGCTGTACACAGACTAGTTTTAAAAAATAATTTAAGTAGTATAAAAATGTTTTATAGTTAAAAATCTCTCAACCGAGAATATTATGATTTAATAAATATTATTAATTTTCTCTGAAATTTTTCTCTCTGCAGAGAGATCTTTAAAAAAAAAAAAAAATAAATAAATAACAAAACTCTTACAAGAGAGATCGAAGACTTTACGTTGAGAAAAGTGTATGAGAAACAATGAAAATAAAACACGAAACATTTGTACAAGCGTAAAGAAATAAGATGGAAGTGTGAGAGGCATTAAACGTGGGTCACCTGCGCGTCACCTGTGCGTCATCACGCAGGTAGCTCGCAGCAATTGATGAAGATGTGCCAAGGAAAGAGTGAAGCGCGCTATAAATAATATAGAGACTATTGTAAAACAGAGAAACGAACAAACAATATACATATATAAAAGATAATACTCACTCATAGGAATCGCATTAGAAATTGGTGGGAGAAGTTGTTGTTGTGCGGTACAGCCTCCGACGCATTCGGAAGAAGACGCTGATCCGATGGTCGCTTTACCGGCGCAATGGATTACTGGAGGACGTAGAGGAGAGGGAGAGAGGTAGAGTAGGTGGTAGAGGTTGCAAAGGCTAGTGGGGTGATAAGGTGATAGAGAAGGGGGAGAGGGGAGATGGGGACCAACTACAAACTACTGAGCGTCCCTCCTATGTTCTGGATCACATCTCAACGGATGATAGTGTCACCACCTTCATACCGAGGCGTACGATTTCTCGGCGAATTTGCTACGACGGGGGATTACTCTGTTAAGGACATTCTTTCTCGGAGAGAAACCCGCTGTTCTTTTACGCTGTATTTTGCGTTACGACTACTGGTACCGCGTGTATAGAACTCCGAGATTCCGGATAAGGAGTAGCTCTTCGAAGTGCGTCGCGTCCGTTCACTTGTCACCAACCTGTCTCACTACCGTTCATTAGCATTGCGCCGTCGGTCACTCCACGGTCGTTTCGTCTTCGCGCACCACTCAATATTGTCCCCGATCGAACTCGATCTTTGTGATTCGATACTCGTGTTCTGTTCGGTATTGCATATAAATCGCGCACCGGCAATCACACGATAGTACGCGCGCGGTAAACGACGCGACAACGACGTGGCCGCGTTAGCTCACAATTCACTAGGAAAACTTCACTTCTGATCGATTCAAGTGATTTGAAAATGAATTAGAACCAGATCGGACAAAGACGTGAACGTAAAAACTGTGCACCGCGCTACTCGCACGTCGCAGCAGGTGGAATTAAAACGCTCAAAGTTTGAACGGTTCGGCTGAAGAGGCAAACAGCACAAGCACAGTGCAGCAGCCTCCTTGATCACTCTCTTCTCTCCGAGATACCAGCAACATGGCCGCCGCCGGCCAGCATCCGTAGCTTTCCTGGCTCCCTTCCTTCGCGCCACACATGTACACGCGCGTCTCGCTCACTCCGTCCTCCCGCCTCCTTTTCTCTCTCTCTCTCTCTCTTTCTTTCTCTCTCTTTCTCTCTCTCTCTCTTACTTGGGCGTTTTTTTTCGAGTCGAGTCTCTCATTCCTCCCTCATGCCATTCTTCTTGTCTCTTCTTTCTTCGCTTACCTGCACACCCCCTATACCGTCCCTTCGGGACGATCGTTCGCCCCTTCAGAGTCGTTTCTTTTATTTTTCTGTCTTTCTCTCTCTTCCCTCATCCGCGCTCCAGAGTCCAGCTTCGTCACTCCTCCCACTCCCGATCGAAGGAGAAAGAGAGATCGCGATAAACTCTTCCATCGCACTTCTCTCTCCCTCCACGTGTTCTCTCGCTCACTTGCTCTCGAGCGAGGTGAAGAAAGAAAGAGAGAGATAGAGAGCAAAAGAGATAGAGAGAAGGTAAGCCGAAAGAGCGCGGAGCGCGAGGATCGCGAAACGCAACAGAGAGAGAGACGGACGTACACGATGCCGGGAGTATGAGGAGGTGGAAGGCAGAGAGACCGTCGTCACGCAGGTAGTCAACGCGAAACAAGAACGACCTCCACAAGCTGGTGAGTGTGATCGGGACAGACTTAGCCGTACGAGCCGTACGAACACAAACAGAGCATCGAGTCATCGACAAGGCTGCTCGGCCACCCGGCATTATCATGTCTCTTATAGTCATCTCTCTCTATCTCACTCTCTCTCTCTCTCTCTCTCTCTCTCTCTCTCTCTCTCTCTCTCTCTTTCTGACGTACTCTCTTCCAGAGATGCAAGCTGCTTTCTATATTAAACGTAGCTAATAAAATCAAGATAATTATTACATATAAATGTAATTCAAAGTCATNCTCTCTCTCTCTCTCTCTCTCTCTCTCTCTCTCTCTCTCTCTCTTTCTGACGTACTCTCTTCCAGCCGCCGCGCTGTCCGAGAGGGATATATTATGGAGAATCGCGAGAGGAACGGAGAGAATCGGTATACGAGAACACGTGCATTATCGCAATCCCTCCGCCCTGTTTCGCCGTATCTGCGGAGCTCTATCTTTCTCTCTTTCTCTCTCTCTCTCTCTCTCTCTCTCTCTTTCACTTTATTTTTCCTCTCTCTTCTCTTTCTTATCCTGGTTCTACCTTCGAGCTATGTCCTACTCTGCCTCGCTACCTTGAAAAGGATACACGCGGTTGAAGGTCCAAGCGGGACAGAGACAACCGCTTAGACCTACGTTATCGCCGCCCGTCTCTCCTGGCGTCCTTCTTCCACTTGAATTTATTCTCGTGGTTCCGTCTCGCTTTGCTACCTTGAGAAGGGTAGACCCCGCGGAAGAGAACCGCGGGAGGAACGAGAAGGAGGACACGCACACGTAGAGATTATCGTCGTATCCGAGCCCTGCTCCTCCACACCTCTCTCTCTCTCTCTCTCTCTCGCTCGCTCGCTCGCCTCCTCTGCCTCACGATATCGGTTTTATAACGCTCGCTCTTTATCTTGCCACCTTGAGAAGGATATCCACATACCAAACCACGCATATCCGAGAGATATCTAGTAGTAAGTAGGGACGCGCGTAAAATCGTCTCTCGGCGAGCGCACCGCGACCAAATAAGCATCGGTCGAAAGATGCCCCTCTCATCCGATGGAGAAGAGACACGTCTACAGATACTTACATATCCGCCCGTTTTATATAAATTTTTGTGCTCCGCAATATGGTTTTCTTTTTCCACGGCTTTATCGCTTTACGCTCTATGTATAAAAGAAGCCTTTTGCCCGCGCCTATCCGCCTCAGACGAATCGAAGCATCTTCCCGAGTCATCGCGAGACAGACGTGCGCGCGCGCGCGCACACACACACACACACATCCACACGTGCACGCGAGAGTCTTCTACAGTCTCCTCTCCGCATCTCCCGCGTCTCGCCGCGAACGAATGTGGCGAACGCGAAATGGACGTGAGAGAGAGAGAGAGAGAGAGAGAGAGAGAGAGAGAGAGAAAGAGAGAGATTTTTCTTTACAAAGAAGCGCGAGCTCTGTCGTATCGTCTTTCTCCTTTCTTTCCATTCGCCATTGTGGGAAGAAATATCCGCGAGAAAGATTCCGCCAACGGTAGAACGAAGACAAGAAGCGCGTGTGCGCGCACGAAACGCGTATACACACGTTTCGATTGATTCCCTCTTACGCTCAGTGCACGCGAGATGTCTAGCCACATATAACGCCGAAGCCGCTGTCGGTGGTGCGCGTCGCCACGAACGAAGATGGACTCGAGATCGAAAGAGCGAGAGATTCGAGAGAGGGCGGTGGGAGGGCGGAAGGAGGGAAGCGAAAGAGGAGGGCGTGTGCGTGAGTCCGACGACGAAAGAGAGAGAGAGAAAGAGAAAAGGAGTAAACGCACGAAGAGCGACGAGGATCACGGGCGTTGGCTGCGCGCACGAAGGGAGATTAAAAGAAGAAAAAGAAGATGGAATTAAAGGAGGAAAAAAACTTTAAAGTTGGGGAACGAGAGGGAGGGAACGACGCGGGAGAGAGAAACAGGGAGGAGGAGAAGACACGAGGAGGAAGCGGGATAAAGAGAGAGAGAGAGAGAGAGAGAGACTTCGTGAAAAATGGACACCCAGCGAGAGAGGACAGCCTCGGGCTACGTCGCACGATGCGACCCTGCTCAGGGAGGGATTCGTTCCTCGTTTGTGGGCTTCAAACGCGCCTTGTCTCGTGTAGATTCGGCCGAGAATCTACACGAGATCCTCATCATCGTGCGGCCTAGTCCGTCCGTCCTCGCCTCGGACGGAAATTTCGAAAGGGACCAGCTGAACCGAATCTTTCACAATGTGTCGGACTCTTCTCGGTAGATAAATTCTCGACGCGTTCTTTCTACAGAGAGATTTGAACTCGCGCGCGCTTTCTTTCGACGTGGGAATCGTCGTAATCGCCGCGCGCTTATGCGCGCACAGCGTGGGTGGCTGTGCGCGCATTTGTGTGGGCGAACCGAGAAAGAAGAAGAGAGAGGAGAAACACGATTTTCAAAAAAAAAAAAAAAGGGTGGGGTTCGACTTCTACGCGCGGCGGTATATGCTTGAGATATTTCTTTTCCGGACGATTTCTCGCGTCTGCCTCTCGCATTTGCATATTAGCGAAGATATTCGAGACGACTGACGAACTGTCTTTCTGTCCATCGCGTACGAATCGGACGGCGATCGACGGTCCACGCGCGACTTTCTAACACCGACCTCGTGAAAGCAGATCGAAGTCCGAACCCCACGACGAGAAAATCCCTCTCTATCCGTCGTATCTGTCGACGCGCGCGCGCGCGCGCGCGCGTAGTCGTAAAGTTCGCCTTCCGCGCCCACCTTCCTGCCGTATATCTCTCACGCCGACGGGATAAAACGCGCGCGCACCGGGCACATATTTATGCAGATCACGGAGCGTGTCGGAAAGCGCGCGAAGAAGTGCTCGTAATTCAACCGGATCCGCAAAGTTCACTTTTGGAGCGACGACGACGTGGCTTCGACACCCGTGGCTGCTCTTAACTTTTTGATTTATCACGCTTTGACCTATTGCGTAAAACGCTTTACGTAAAATTATCGCTTGGATACTTAGATATAAACAAAAAAAAAACAAAAAAAAACTACGCGATATTATCGCGTCTCCAGAGCAAATCTGGATTACGTACACGATATTGTTGACGCTCGCGTGTCATTAAATTAAAAATAAATCCGCCGTCTCGAGTTATAACGAGAGAGAGTATCATCGGCCGGGCGTTGACGTCTCTCCGAGAAGACGGTGCTACTCCCGGAGACTTCAACGCGCACGTCTCTGTTATCCGCGGAGAACAGATCCAAGTGTTGAAGTCTCCGGTCGAGATTTGGCATGGCCTTGCGCGGGCGTTCAAGTCTCTCCTCTTCTCTGGCTCGGTCTTAAACGGCGGCGCTCGTAAGCGCACATAATGGTTCTCAACCGGTTCACTCGGGATTCATTCAGAGAAACGTCAATGTGCATCTATTCACGCACGCGTTCGTATACACACACGTGTACGTATACGTACACGCGCGCGTTTTATCTATAGATGCGTCGCTACCTGTTCGCCGGAGACCGGTCAGCTCTTACCGGTTGCGTACGTCTCTCTAAAGCAAACACCGACGTGTTTACGTCTGGATATAAAAGTGCGGCGAGAGCAAACGAAAGAGGCAGCTTCGGTGTAACGACCTGAGATTGATTCCTCGGACGCGATCGACAATTTTGTATAAGAGAGAAAAAGAGAAAGAGAAAGAGAGAGAGAGAGAGAGAGAGAAGCGTTTTTATTGGTGTGCTCACTTGTACAATTTTTGTATAAAATAAAATGTGATACGTGTATAAAAATATTTATTTTTATCCTATGCTGACGCACTGTTGCACATGTGTTATTTGCTTTAGACAAAAAAGAACAAGAACGTGTAGAAAAAATATAGATAGAAGTGGCTTTACTTCTTATAAAAAAACGCTCTGGGAAAATCCACTCAAGCGTGACGTTAACAAAAACACTAATTGATATATTAAAAATAATTTTAAAAATATCAAAAATGAATATGTACAAAGTGAATACTTTTTTGCGAAAAGTAAGAATAACAAGAAAAAATAATAAAAAAAGATGCGGAATAAAAATAAAAAGATACAAGATACAAATTATATTATCATTATAAAAATATATATTAGTCGCGAAATTTTTTATTCCGCAGCCAACTTGACTCGAGCATCGAGAAATGATAATTTGAAATATCAGCTTGGCCAATCGGAAATCTCCGCTCGACTATCTAATGCTAATTAAAGACCGATGTGAAAAATAAATTTGATTTATCCCGTCGATAATTATATTCCAGCGACCGGCTCGCAAATCGCGAGCGTTTTTTATATACAACACACACACGCTTGTATCGAAACGCAAAAGAGTTC